GTTACAAACTATAGATAAGCACCATGTCTGGTTTATCTCAAGTACCCAGCACACAAAGAACATGCTGCACATCAAGGAAATATAAACAAGCCTATAGTGTCATTCAGAATTTAAGGTGTTATCATATGTTGTTCCGCAAATGAAATATTTTGACATTGTAAAACTTGAGATCTGTGGGACATTTCTTGCAGGAAAAGACCACCATTATCAAAGCAATTGTGTCAGTCCTTGTAATTTACACATGTAATAGCCCTTGTGAAATCATTGATCAGTTTTCATATAAATTCAGGTGGCTTTTGCCAGTTCTGGGTTGATTCCTGCTTCTGAGGGAATTTCTGCTTCTGAGAATCAATTGAATCTGCCCGAGAGCTCTCCTGCACGTTGGGGGTGGGGGGTATTTCTTTAGGAAGTGTATTCAGTGTATTGTTTAAATTTCGGCCTCGTGCCCATCTGACCTCGTGCCTGGTATTTTAGCCTTGGTAACTCTTAATAAAAATTAAGTTTTGTTTAAGTGAGCAACCTTGTAGTGTATTTCCACCAGCTTTGGCCGGCTGATCCTCGCCTTTGGTAAGTGAGCAGGACGAACCGAGGGTGGGGTGTAAGCTACACACATTTAAGTGGGGTCACATGTAAAAATTCACCCCATACAAGTCAAAGCTCAAGGTTTCCCTAATCATGGCCTTTTTTGACCTCACTAAAACTGGAGATCTTCAGCATCTTCACCACCCCTGCCAGCAGCGGACCAGGAGGGGGAACTGCTAGGGTGGGGCATTGTGCAGGGCCCGGAAGTGCCTCCAACAGGTCCCCCAGCAGCCTTTCAATGCACACCTTTCCATCCCCAACATTCCTTGAGACAGCAAGCAGCCCCTCTGGGTGCCTAGCAGCTGCTGTCACAAACGCTGTCAGCCCTTCCATCTACTTCTGACCCCTGGAAAAGGCTTCCTGCCATTATCAGTGGCTCTCCAGCTGCTCCTGCTCAATGGTCACCCACATGGAAGAGGGTGGATGGGCTGAGCTAGCTGTGGGCCCTGTGCATGGGGTCCAGGCAAGGGGCCAGAATCCACCGCATTGCCCAGGACACCAGCGACCACACCACCAAACTCCAGACATTGCTTTTCACCCCTGGCTCCCACTCCCCCGCCCCCAGTCCCCAATTTGCTAGCATCTGAAGATGTCAAGTCCACCCACCGCAGGGGCTCACCCTCAGCTACTAGCTCCACAGGTGCTGCACCCACTGCCACCCTTGGAGAAGGATGATCTGGCAGCCACAGGATGAGCAGTGCCCCATTATCTTTCCAATGTTCATAGGGATCAGCATCACCCCACAACACCATTCCCTGACCTCATGCTGCACCCCTACCAATCCTTAACTCCATGGCTTTCTCTGATTCTTTCTTCATTAGCATACCCAAATAGAGCCAAGGTTGCTGGGAACCACTCAGCCTTTCCAGGCCTCTATAGGGCCACACCTCCCAAAATCGACACCATGCTTTCCACAGCTGCAAGACAACCATCCATTATCAATACTGGGCAGCAAGGCGTTTCTCGCAGACCACACCACTTGCTCACCCCCACATGAATGGAACAAGGCAGACAGGGTCAGACTATCTTCTACAGATCCTTAGACCCTTTGTGCCATTTCCAGATCCTCTCCCGATCAATTTGAATTGTTCGTGCAACCATGTCCTTAGCTGACCCATTCCTTTCTAATGCAGCTCCAAACCCAAGAATCCAGCTGATTGTTTGAGGAGTACTGGCACAGTGGTGCTGGGGGCTTGCACCAGTGTGACTGGCCCTTACGCCAGCATATCTTGGAGATACGCCAGCATAAAGGTCAGTCATGTTAGGGTTTTGCTGTTAATATTTTAATGTTTTGATGCTTGCCACCTTGGGGACCCTATTTGGATGGAAAAGCAGGACAGAAATGTTTTAAAGAAAATAAATAAATGTATTTAAAAACTGGCTGAATAATGCCAAAGATATTTTCAATACAAGGATTAGCACCTTTCAAAAAAGAATCTGTCTTTATAACAGATTCTGAACTTATTGTGGTGTATCTCCAATGAGAGTTCAGAAGTTTAGCTCTGTTATGATTGGTTGTCTGTCCTGTTTGACAGAGACCTGCAGTGGCATGAATGAAAGGGAAATATTGAAATGTAAAGAATAAAGAAAAAGCAAGAAACAGAGCTTTAAAAATAACAAAATACAAAAACAGAAGTTGGAATAAGGGGGAAAGTGCTGGGTTGCAAGCACTAGAAAAATTGGACAAAGGGATAATTCTCACAAAAAGCAGATTAGACGATAAACCTGTGGTTAGACTACAGAATTCCTGCAAGGACTTGCATGATGGAATGTTTCCCATGAACAAATTCCTACACCGAGAAAACTAGCCTGTCTGGAAATGTCTTTCTGCCTGAAATCTTGATATTGGTATGTGGGGATATTTCTTAAACTGGAGGATCATTCAGTCCTGCAAGTTCTCATTTTCAATATGAAGTGGTTTAGTCCAGACATACGTTTTCTTCCTTCTCTGCAGTTTCTGAGCAGATTAACTTTAGCTGGAGCAGAACCAAGAGTGAGCAGAGCCAAAAGTGACCTCAATTTCTACCAAGAGATGTTTGCAAATACTGCAAGAACTGGCTCTGAACCAAACTACAGCTACTTGCACATGGAGATTTCTCTCTGCCTTTGTTTCCAAAGTGGAGCATTTTTTTGAGCTTCTACATAATGTCAAGTCATAGCTGTCCCCTTTCCAGGTTTTGCCCAACATCACCATGCTCTTTCCCAAACTGTTTATGTTTTAAAAAACCAGTTCTGTTTAATTGTATTATTACATATTTGCCTACCATACAAAATTCCAGCTGTTAGTTCCTCATGGGTTCCCTTCCCTTCTCCTTTTTTGCCATGCTACTGCAGCATTTTTGTAAGCTTTTTAAAAAATAGGTATTTTGGAGCCAGTTTGGTATAGTGGTTAAGAATGGCTGACTGTAATCTGGAAAACCAGGTTTGATTCCCCCCTCTTCCACATGCAGTCAGCTGGGTGACCTTGGGTGCCACAGTTCACTCAGAGCTGTTCTCTCAAGAGCCATTCTCTCAGAGCTCTCTCAGCCCCACCTACCCTTAAGATCAAGTTTTATTCAGGTACAAGCTCTCCCTTCTCTGCAAGGACAGATCTGGATCCCCCCCCCCCATAGTTAGCAATCCAAAACAGTCCAGTGGAGATTCCCTGAGTGGTGGGTGTTGCCTTCTGACACACTTCTGGTGACATCAGGGGTGTGGCATATGCAAATAAGTTATGCTAAAAAGTTATGCTAATGAGCTCCTGCACCTCTTTTTCTATGAAATGACCCCTGCTTGTATATTTATTTTAATTTTTTTATTTAAAACATTTTATACTGCCTTTCCACCCAACTTAGCATTTCCAAGGTGGTATTTACAGTCCAGGAACTTGGGGGGCTGGGTCAGAAATGCACCACATATTCCAGCCCACAGCTGTATTTACATTTTTACCTAAGCAAAAAGGTCTAATTTGCACTAATTAGGATGGCTAACTGGGTATTTGGGTAGGAGTTGGGGCAGAGTCTGGGACAAGTCAGTTGGGGGAGTCTTCTGGAGCACAGCTAATAACAAAACCTTTTAAAAATAAATATGGTTGCTCAGCTGATCGCATATCGGATTCAAGTACATTAAGAATTATATCCTTTTTAAAATGTATATGTCAGTGTAGCACCACTGCTACACACCACAGCTTCTTTCCTGTAGTCAGGTGTGGTGTGGTCCTATGTCACTGGGCAATATGTGTGACTATGTCATCCATGTGGTCAAGACAGCTTCTTTCCTGTAGTCAGGTGTGGTCCTATGTCACTGGGCAATGTGTGACTATGTCATCCATGTGGTCGGGAGAACAGAAATCCAGTTGTTTCCACCCACTTGGCAATAACCTAGATAGTTTTAAAGCCCAATACTTCTTAGTCTCCAGTTAAACTCAAAGTCCTAGTAGCCTAGGAGTGGATAAACTTTAGGGCTGGAAAACAACAAAAACAACACCTACCTGCTGGTGGTTGCACACTTACTACTCAGATGAGGGTGAAGGACAGACAGCATTGGGATCCCACCGCACAGTGGGGGAACTGGGGTGTTGCTGCATGCCACCGGATGAGAAAGAAGAAAAAGGGGTGGAGTGAGATGAATTTTTCCCTCTCTAATTCAAGCCAGACGTCTCCCGACATACTCGCGCGTGTACCTGCTCCATTAAGGAGAGGAACGGGGATGGGGGGGAGGGCAATGGCTTGGTGGTGCTACTTTAGATAGCCGACTGTTTACAGGGCATAAACAGAGCTCCAAACGACGCTTTCTCGTACGTTGCCGACCCCATCGGTGCTGACAGAACCTCTATGGGTCGCCTCGGGTGCTTTGCCAACAGCTGCCTCTGTGGGTCACAGAAAACGGTCTGGCGGGCCACAATTCGGCACCTGTAGCGGACTACCTTGCGGTGCTTAGTGACAAGATTCTATCCTGCCGTGTAGGCTAACCCAAAATCCGTTGTGGGGCGCTTTCTTTCTTTTATAAAAAGGCGGGAGCTCTTGTTCCTCATGCCACGTCAAGCTGCACTATCCCCCCCCCGGGGAGTCCTGCGCTCCACAGCAGGCTTCTGTGGCTGAACTCTGCCCCTCACCAACTGCAGGAAGCTTGTGCTGCGCCCGCCCTCTGGCGTCTTCCCTTTCAGGAGCTGGCTCCGCCCGCCCCCGTTTGGCTGAACTAGCCAAAAAGTTTCTCGGAGTCGGCTGCGGAAGGCGCGCCTGAAGGAGGAGTGTGGTTACCGTTAGAGGCGCCGCGAGGAGGGCGGGGCTTGGGGCAGGTTTCCAGCTCCGGGCAAGAGGAAGAAGTCGCCTCCCGGTGCTGCCTTTTACCGCTGAGGTGCGTTTCTCTCGTCGGGACTGTCACAAGGGCATTAAGAAGGGGCTGCATGACGAGAGTTGCGACGGGCTAGTTGTCGACCAAGAGCCCTTTTCCTTCAGCTCCTGCCACCTTTAGGTCCTAAGAGCTGCCTAGCATGGGAGGTCGGTGGTGGTGCTGCTGCTACTGCTGCTTATCTGCTGAGGAGCGCGAGAACGAGCGCCTGAACCGGGAGATTGAGCGGCAGCTGCGCAAGGATAAGCGAGATGCGAGTAAGGAGCTCAAGTTACTGCTGCTTGGTAAGTCAGACCCGCGGCGCGCATCTGTGGAGTTGCCAGATGAAAGACACTCTATCACTCCTGTTCTTCTCCAGCAAAGCAAGGGACTTTATTTGAGAGCTTAATTTAAGGTCCTGCTATTTCTGGCCCAGTTTTATTTTAATTTTTTATCCAACCAACAAGGATGAAGTGCAGGTCTCTGGGCATATGAAGAAAGCATTTATATACTATGAAGTAGTCATAGGTCTATGACTACTATAGGTCATTCCTCTGGACTGTAATCATGGGATGGAAGGTGGTGGTTCTGAAGTACACATGAATCCTGGAGCCTGTTCCCTTGTTATTCTCTAAACGTTTGCTATTATTTTGCAATGTGTTTTAAAATTACTTTGATGCTATAAGGATTTAGGATGCAATCTGTAAGTTTGCTTACTTTTTCATTAATAATTTCTTTTTAACAGCCATGCATGAAGTAAGGCCGCCTGGGGATGTTTCATCATGCTCTGGTGTATGTTTTACAGGGCAATCCTAAGAACACTTTGTTTGAGTAAACCTCATTGAATAGACTTGAGTAGGGGCAATTTCTCACTAGAGCTGCCTCGCAGCACAGCCGCCGTTTGCCCCAACACAAACATGTCAATTTCACACCTGAAGCTCCGGGGCTGCATTTTGACTCGGGGCTTCGCCCGATTTCCTCCGCAGTTTCGTGATCCTGGTTTTTGAGGATCTAAGAACATAAGAAGAGCCCTGCTGGCTTGCATCAGTGGTCCATCTAGCCCGGCATCCTGCATTACACAGTGGCCAACCAGCAGGGCCGTAGCTAGGATTTTTTACTTTGAGGGACATTTAATTGAGTTGGGGCACCCCCGCACACACTCCCAGGCTGTGTCAGGAGCGACAAGAGAGTAAAAGTTAAGAAAAGTGACGAGAGAGGTGAGGGCACTGGCAGGCAGGGCAGGGTGACAACGTGGCAAGGCCATGGCACACACACAAAAAAATGTAAAAGCAGCGAGAGAGGCCAGGGGGCCAGAAGGCAATGTGTATTATTATTATTATTAGGCTGGAGAGAAATTTAAAAGCCAGGGGCAATTGGAGAGAGGTTATCAGACAGGAGAAAGGGGGAGGGGGAATAATACAACACCCAAAGCGATTGCAAAGGCGATTTCTCTTTCACCACAGCTACCTCACTGGGCAATGAGTGGACAACTGAAAGCAACACACATGCGCACACAGACACATGCACACATACAGTGGGAGGTGGTCGTGCATGCTGCATGGCCAAGATCACACTGAAAAAATGAATGGGAACATTCAGAATTGCCTCTGCTGGATCAGACCATGGAGTCCATCAGCTTGTCATCAGGCAGAGGCCCCCAGGGAAGCTCATGGCCAGGGCTGGAGAAGGGAGCAGACGTGCCCTGTGGAGTACCTCACCTGCGGCCAGCCAGAGGCACACTGCTGGCAGGCAGGGCAGGGCAACAGCTTGGTGTGGCCATGGTGCATGTGAAAAATAAAATAATTGGCTGGATGGGAAGAGCCAGGGGCCCCGGCCCCGAGGTGCCCCACTGTAGCTACTGGCCTGCCAACCAGTTACTATGGAGGGAGGCTTCCTTAGGATGGCACTGTTAATGTAGATGCAGAAGAATAAAGTGAGGATGTTCTCAGTAATTGTCTGGGGAAGGGAAATGCTTTATCACCTGCATCTGGAATAGTTAACCAATTTATCCTCAATAAAATAGTCCATAAAGCACAATGGCTTGTTGGATTTACTCAGGCTTGGCCTAATAGAGACATTCAGTAAAATACAATAAGTAGATGCACACATTTCAAATTCAGAAGTTTACATAATGAAAAGATGGCGTTAATATATTTTGAAAGTTAAGTAAAATATGAATAAGTCCGCTATAAAAATTAGATCAGTCCTCTGAACCCACTCAGGGTATTTTCAAGACTTGGTCACAATGTTTTGGTGCCCATGAGATTTTGCCACTGTTTCTGTAGACCTCTTGTCAGACCCCAAAAGGAGGTTTAACAGATGATGATCCACAGAATGGGCTGGATAGGTAGCTCTAGACAGAGCTAACATAATTGCTTTTTGATCTGTATACATCTTGCAGGAGAACAAAGAATGTGTAATAGACTCAATAACCTGAACGTCACAGGGACATAACTTTTGCTCATGTGGAGTTCCCCTAAACCTACCAGTTAGCTCTGCTAAAGGGAATGAATTAAAATGGGCTACGGAGAACAACCCACAATAAGCAGGAACCATAACACAGGATGAAAGTTTGTTGTAGGAAGAGGGAATTGAAGGCACAAAATCCAGATAAATAGGTGAGCAGACTCACTAGGCATCAGCTGTGAGCATATACAGCTCTTCAAGCCTTTCTGTTATTACTGCACAAGCCTTTTTTAATCCCAGCTCTGATAAATAGGTTTTAGACAACCCCAAATCAGCAAGTTTCTTATCCATACATTGGCTCCAAGAACAGGAATAGGAGTCAGATTGAAACCAGGTCACCATAGTTGGGAGGGAGTCAGATACAGTGAGGGACAGCTGGAAGTTGATTGCTACAAACCAAGCTATGGTTGAAATTTGCTTTATACCCACCTCTAGTTACAGAGTCAACAAGGCTATGCAGTTAGGCACTCCAAAAAGAACACGTAGGAAGACAAAGTCTGGTGGTGGATACTTCAATAGAAGGTTTTAAAAGCTTGAATCCAAATTGTATAGTAGCTGGGTGATAACTTTTGTGTTAAATACTTGTAAGGCCTAAGGCCTAGGAAATGACGATGAAGAAGAAGAGATTGAATTTATACCCTTCCCTTCACTACCTGAAGGAGTCTCCGAGCAGCTTACAAACTCCTTTCCCTTCCCCTCCCCACAACAGACACCCTGTGAGGTAGGTGGGACTGAGAGAGCTCTGACAGAAACTGCTCTTTTTCAAGAACAGCTCTTGTCAGAACTGTGGCTTGCCCAAGGTCATCCAGCCAGGTGCAAGCGGAGGAGTGGGGAATCAAACCTGGTTCTCCCAAACTAGAGTCCATGCACTTAACCACTACACCAAACTGGCTCTAATGCCACTAAAGGGGAAAAAAAGAATCTCTGAACAGTTGCAAGATTAATTCTGGTACTGGCCAAAGCTTACTTGCAATGCTCCAGGAAAAGAAGAATGAAATTGGAAGCCCAGATGATTGACTGAGAAGCATTGTTCAAGAGGATAGTTAACCAACTCTGTAATCTCAAGTTTTTGAGCGCCAATTTTCGGAGCTTTGACAGTGGCCTAAAATGTCGTTTGAGAGGATGTTGGTATAGCTTATTTATTTTATTTTATTTTAGCATTTATATCCCACCCTCCCCACAAGCGGGCTCAGGGCGGCTTACAAAGAGCCGGACTGAGATTTTTTCACCATGCTTCTGCATTTTAATTTTTCCTAGTGACCCCGTGAAGACAGAACTCTTGAACTGCTTGGTAGTATGGGAGCTACAATGCCGCCACTTGATGTCAAGCTGCTGAGTAATGTGGAAGGTCCTCCTGTGGACCACATTCAGAGGAATCCATGATACAGCTCCTCCTCACGGGGCTCTTGTGCCCTGTTGCTGTTTCCATTGCTATCTGTGTAGTGAGAGAAGCTCAGGACTGCTACCATGTGGCAGAAGGACTGTGGGCTTTCTTCTGAGTTCTGGAACTTCTCATACATTATTTTGGTGGTGTGGGAAGGAGTGGTGCTGCTGGGCTGTCCTACTGCCAAGATATGGTAAAAGTCTAGGCTTTGGAGGGAGCCAACATTTGCTCAATTAAATGGGAGCGAAATATTGGGACTTTGTCCTTAACTCCATCCCGTATTCTATAAAATAGTAAAGTTAAAGGTGCCACTGGACCCAGACTTTGTTTTGTTGCTTCAGACCAACATGGCTACCCACCTGAATCTATTCCCAGTGGAGTATAACACTAGAACAGTTCAGTGTCGTATGGGGCTGATGGTAATTCCCAAACCAAACTTTTTGCTGGGTGGGCCAATTCACACAATTGCTTTGTGTGTGATGTCATTTTTCTCTCCCCTTTCTGATGTAGATTCACCTGAGAGTAGATTGTAAGAATCCAATTTGTGCCCTAAGTGAGTATGACCCGAGCGGTTGTTTCAGAGTGAACAAACTTGTAGATACGTGTAGAATGGTTGTGTGAACTGGTTTCTTCTCTTGGGTTAAGTATGTGGTATACAGCAGCTCATTCAATTACATTCTGAAGATCCTGTTTGAGAAGCTGATTAATGGTTTTATCTGCCAGCTCTTAGTTTTTGTTTTTCTGTGTGTTTGGCAGGCATCTTTGTCAAGTTATTCCCTTGAAGTGATTTTTTCCAGTTGATGGGGGAAAATTTATTATTTTGAGTTTCAGCAGCCCATTTTAGTGTGCTGTTAAAGAAGCAGTTGAGGTAGAAATGGAACTTAACATTTATGTCTGTATTTTCCATACATGTGTGAAGGAAGATTGAGAAACCTGCTGATTTACAGCCTGTATCCCAAATGCCTTCTCTTAAAATTCAGTCCATCATTCAGTGGCACATATTTGAATGTGCTTGGGTTTTGCCATTTTGCAACCTGTTTTTATGTGTGTTTTCTTGGAAGTAACTCTGCTGTTTGCAGTAGGACTTGCTGTTAAGTACACAGGCATAGGATCATGTGGTTAGTCTGTCAAATTAAAGTTACTGGACTTTGATCCCATAGCTTTGATATGTAAATCCGTGTTTGTTGGAAGAAGTAACTTAACATTTATGTCTGTATTTTCCATACATGCATGAAGGAAGATCGAGAAACCTGCTGATTTACAGCCTGTATCCCAAATGCCTTCTCTTAAAAATCAGTCCATCATTCAGTGGCGCATATTTGAATGTGCTTGGGTTTGCCATTTTGCAACCTGTTTTTATGCGTGTTTACTTGGAAGTAACTCTGCTGTGTGCAGTAGGACTTGCTGTTAAGTACACAGGCATAGGATCATGTGGTTAGTCTGTCAAATTAAAGT